AAATAAGTCTAACGTATTATTCAAGACATATGTTTGGCTGGCATTTCGCGACCCGACACACGATTACCTAATGCTTACGGAGGAGAGTGCGAGAGAGTGAGAGCACCGGTAGGTAATAGAGACCTGAAATATGTTACTTATGGGCACGCGTTCACTTCCTTTCCCACGCGTACGGCACAGGCTATTGAATGGCGAAAATATTTTTATATACACTTCTAGTGGCAGAGGACCAGTAGTTTTTGAGCGGCACTGGTAGGCACCTCTCCATTCACCACCCGATCAGCTCTCACCTGTAATGCTGAGGAATGCATCTGTTTGTGTGTATGAGTGCACGTATGGGCACAAGTATGTTATTTATTCACCATTGCGTCATGAAATACTATTAACTATTAATAGTAGAGGAGAGGTATTAAATGCGAGGAATTTTTTTATTCACTTCAAAGTGTATAATACCTATCAGTCCCTCACTATCCCAGTGCACGGGTAGGCATTTCTTAACATCTGATGTGTGATACAATCCACGCGTTTCTTAGGATATCGTTATACAACCGATTCCTACTTTATATACCATTTTTCACACAAATTATAATCATTTTGAACGAATTTTTTATTGAATTTGCCAACAAATACGACAAAAATATTATATTGCTCACTTAGAAAATAGTGTGGTATATTTTAGACAAATTAACGATGATTATTTAATTTTAATAAACCTTTATAAAAAATAGTTTATTTGACTGTATTTTTACAGTGAAAGGAAGTCTACAAACATATTACATAATATAGGAAAAATGATTTATATTTTGCCGTACCAAATGATACACAACTCTATACTTTAAAAACCATTAGAAAAAAATCATGATTGTAAAAGGAATATATTTATTAGGTATAAAATTTAATCATAAGATAATGCAAAACATGAAAATAATCAATGAGTAGGAAATGATTGAATAAAATTTTGGTCAAAATCAATGTCTTGTATTGCAGCGAAAAATGAGAAAATTTTCATTTTGAGGCCCAAAAAAAGTAATTACTGTCGAAGTCCTTAAAGAAATACAACTTATTCTCATAGATATAATAATTTCTTCATTTTTGGGCCTCTTTTTTATTAAAGGGTTTGATTGAAACAAATTGTTTTGGAATTCATTAAATGATGCAAAAAATCATCTGCGATAACAATAATTGAATTCTCGGTAATAGATATAATAATTTCTTCATTTTTGGGCCTCTTTTTTATTAAAGGGTTTGATTGAAACAAATTGTTTTGGAATTCATTAAATGATGCAAAAAATCATCTGCGATAACAATAATTGAATTCTCGGTGTAATCTAAGAATATATTTTCAATTTTTTCACTCATAATGTGTGTCAAGAAAGTATTGAAAAATATTATTTATATCAAGACATACTTAAGATATGCTAACTTATTTAATAATTATGGCCAGTATTTAAATTAATGTTAATTATCATATTTACGATAAATATACCTGTGCTGTAAAATAATTTTCAATTTATTAATAAAATATATATTCTTGCGGTTATAATCTAGAGTCGGAATCAGTGCCTCCAACAAAGTATTATAATAAATATTGTCGTCATTTTAAACAGTCAGGTGTTTTTATCTAAAAAATTCTCCCATATTTTTCTCAAATTTTAAAAACACATAAATTTAAAGCCAAAAAATTATCTTTTATTTTGATACCCAATGCCCATTGAATCAGTCATTAGTCAATTTGTCTTTTGTATCTTTCGATACAATCTTAAAAAGTTTAATCTTTGCCACCAGTGAAGTATTATATAAACTGGTACATATTTTATACGTACTATTAATCCATTAAAGTTTTTAGCAATTTTTTACTATAATCTAAATTCGCCCGAAATTTGTGTCTAATTATTTGATCATTGATTTATAATGTATAAACATAAACTTATAAATTATAGATAAAATTGTAAAAGAATTTACGCAATTCACTAAATAAAACCATGTTGTTTGAATTTTATTATTAATTATTACTAAGTTTGGTTTAATTACTTTTATTGTTTCCAATATATTTATTGATCATTGTTATCATTACAAGTATTGAATAAAAAATATTTATATTATTCATATAATTAATACATTTAAACATATAAATTAGTTATAAAATTTCTTGATCATATCCAACAAAAACTTAACTGGAGTTTTAAAGCCGTGGTGCCAAACAGCCGGATCAGTTGCCTCACTAATAGTCTTAATTTGTTTCAATCCTTCGGGAAACAAGTTTTTATTACAATTATCGTAGGAGTCATAGCTTGAACAGGCGTATGTGATCGCCTCCATTGACTGCAATTATAAAACAATAACTAATTATTAGATTTGATACGAAATATACGAATGACTGAAAGGACTGACAATTTCATCGAAGATCTCGTCCCAGAACTGCGAGTGACCGACAGTACAGATCTTCTCGGTGTTGGTCAGCACACAGTGTTTGTACTCTTGAAAGCCACAGCACATGAACGGCAGGAAAGGGTCGTCCTTTGACATANTGCCTACCCGTGCACTGGGATAGTGAGGGACTGATAGGTATTATACACTTTGAAGTGAATAAAAAAATTCCTCGCATTTAATACCTCTCCTCTACTATTAATAGTTAATAGTATTTCATGACGCAATGGTGAATAAATAACATACTTGTGCCCATACGTGCACTCATACACACAAACAGATGCATTCCTCAGCATTACAGGTGAGAGCTGATCGGGTGGTGAATGGAGAGGTGCCTACCAGTGCCGCTCAAAAACTACTGGTCCTCTGCCACTAGAAGTGTATATAAAAATCTTTTCACCATTCAATAGCCTGTGCCGTACGCGTGGGAAAGGAAGTGAACGCGTGCCCATAAGTAACATATTTCAGGTCTCTATTACCTACCGGTGCTCTCACTCTCTCGCACTCTCCTCCGTAAGCATTAGGTAATCGTGTGTCGGGTCGCGAAATGCCAGCCAAACATATGTCTTGAATAATACGTTAGACTTATTTCCAACGTATAGTCAAATAGATTTTTGCTGTTTTTGAATGTTTGAAAAAATGTCACACTTTTTGTTACCCTTATCTCACAAATTGGTAAACAATTTACAGATTATTAGCAAGATCCACTCATTTGTTTCGTAAACACGTTTTCAGTGTCCAATATCTGTTTGAAATACTTTTTGAACGACTTTTTTTGCATATTTATAGCCAGAATTGACAGCATTTTCCGAAACAAATTTATTTCGGAATTTTTCACATAGTTTTTTAAATTGAGTTTTTAGGCATTCATTCATTCATTTGTTTCGCACATTAATAAGACATTAATGTTATAGAAATTGGTCACAACTTCTCATCACTACCACCCCATCCCATACACAAACCCATTCCCACCACTTAAGTCACACAACATATGTCTTATGTCATAAAATACTATAATTAAAATATTTATCTTAAA